CTGCTGATCCCACTACTAGCAAGCGGAGCTGCTTTATTCTTCTTCAATAACACCAGCAGCGGCAACAACACCACCGCAACCAGCAACCACCACCACCAGATAGAGAACGACGACGGTGGCGGCAAACGACGACGACGACTACAACAAGGAGTGTAACAGCCCAGAGCGGCAGCGACGGCAACGGCGGTGGTAGAGGCTGCTGCTGCTGCTATGCTATACCACACAACTATCCATCAGCGGCGGCGGCAGCGGCGGCGGCAGCGAGCAACGGGGATACGACGCACCATTCACTCCACTCTCCCTCTCTATCGTTCGGCGGGACTCGATGGTAGACATGAAATTCGGCCTGTGCGCTCTGTGCGGCGTACTCTTGTACGCTTATACGCTCGCCGTCGATAGCCTTGAATCGGATGTACGCCGAGTCTGTGGGAATGTCGTTCTAGATGAACGCGGGGAGAAATTGCACAAAAATGGAATGGTCTCCCGATGATGGGAGGGTGTGTATAGACAATGATGAAGATGATCATTGCTGAGGGTCTGACCGGGGTCGGGCGGTCCCTTGCACCATTTTACGCTTCTTATATCCAGCCGCGTCGAATGACGCCGGATGCGGGATATAATATGTTCGTCAATTGTCACCGTTCGCGACCAGTCGCTGTCGATATGATTTTGACGCAGGTTTGCGACAGCAGATGGCGAATGACGGCCACCTGGAGCGTTCGGAGCAAAACTTCCGTGTCCGAGTGGCTTCGTCTCCGATAAGCGGATTTTATCGTTGACATATCCTTGCGACCATCGGATGGATGTACGGGATCGCTGATTCGAACAGTGGTATAAGACGAGTCCCCGGGTTCTCGAACGCAGTTAGAGTGCACGTAGCTCCGTGGCTCACCGATCGGGAGCTCTCGTCTCTTTTCACGCAGAGCAACATATTGAGAAAGGATTGAGAACTCCATGGTCGATACTACACTGCCAGACTTCCAGTTTCTGCGGAGCATGTCATGGTCATTCCCAGAGATAGTTCTTCAGAAACAAGGAGTCCGGGGAAGAGCTCCAAGCGAAGAGCTGTGCGAATCAGTCGCCTGAAAATGGTCCGTGTGTCGCATCGAGTCCCGAATGAAGACTCGAGACCGCAGAGCCGGTCGTCGGAACGCATTCGGACCCGTCTCTTACAGACACGTATACAAGACACTCCGGCATACGAGAGACCGATCCCGAGTGACCTCAGCATCCTCGATCCAGGAGATCCCATCTTCGCTAGGCCTATATGTAGTCGATTCCATATACGGAACTTCTCGTGACGACCATTGTTGTGGGAGACCGTATGGAACGACTCGTGAATAGTCGTGGGTCGTGGACAGGGAATGGAGCTCGATCATTCGAGAAAATGCTCGTAGCAGGAAGTTTTATCGCAGAATCTGTCCTGGACGCTGGGAAAACACCTTGAGGTTCGCAGGTATGGTGGCCCGTATTTCGTTCACTTCGTCCGCTTCGAGAACCGAGATCGAAGACGTTCCATCCTCCTCGGTTTCAATTATTTCCGCTGCCCCATCGCGATCAAATTATCTCTGACTGAGTCCCGTTCGACACGCGAAACCGCGGCCCTTTCCCAGGCCCCGGTTCTGGTCGGTACCTCCAATTTTATTAGCCGAAGGCCGAAAATTGTTGTTCCTCCGAGCGGTGAAGTCGCTACCGCGGAGCATTCGATTGTCGAACCACCAAGCCTCAGAGCCAAGGTCCTCTTCAAGGAACTAGATACGGGTGGTACCTACACGCGGATACGTGGCCGCATATCATCTGTAAGACCAGATCCGCGTTCGTTTCGGAACTCACAACCAGTTTTCCGAGCCAAATGAACCTATCGCCTTTCTGGCGCCGCGCCCTGTCGACATGATGAACATTCGGTCGAAGTTCGAGTCCGGCACCGCAACGGAACGAAGGTCTCTACCTCCGCCATCTCGAAGGCGATGGATTCGTAGTCAACGGCCCCACGGCATAGCACACGGGCATGGAGAACAACTCAGAGGGGAGCTTCGAGGGCAGTTGATGGGGCTTGCATGATGGACCCGGAAACACAAAATCTGTTTTCTGGGCACCATTCACTCACAGCGCGGAAGTAAATAGTGATATCGAGGAAATCTATCAGAGGATCTTCCAACAATAGTGAGGCCAGCCTCGTGCGAAGAACCCATAGAGTTCGCAAGCGCGGTGCGCATCAGGCTCGGGTCATCCCAGCGTCGTGGCGTGATATGTAGAACATGGCTCGGCATCACGTCGCGGGCGCCGTATCTAGTCGATACGCTGGGCATGGTTTTCCCGAAGGGAGAATCGGAATCGAAGATGCTATGTCTAGGCAGAGCAGATCAACAGGTGGTAATCGCGGAGCGGCGCTCGTCGAAACCTCGTCATGTTGGAGGTTTGTGGCGGTGGCTGTCGACGTAATGTCAAGGTCCGAGTCGCCAACATCCTATGGGGTGCCCGGATTTGAGAGCGATCGGAACAGGGACCCATCAGGGACCCGTCCGCACAGGCAGATGATGCGAGGAGCATAGTCTCTCTTAGGAGCGCAGCGGAATGTCCCATCAATGAAAGACCTTTCGGATAGGGAACCTTCACTATGATGCCCATGACGAAGAAGTTCTCCCCTCACATGGCGCCTTTGAGAGAGGGAAGCTTCCTCACATGCGGGACTTGAGAAAAATACATTCTTGGTTGCGAACACTTTCGGTTTCTCTTCGGCGCGCTGTAGCGGGACTAGGACCGCTGCGCATTCGCTTCCATGACAACTCCCGAATGACCAGATGATTGGCTGTGAGATCTCCCGATAGCCTGTCGAAGACGACGGGGCTACATGACGACCAAGTATATCAAGAGCTGGAGCATCGTGACAGCTTCGAGGTCGAATTCGGGGAGATTAGCTTCTGGAGATTCTCCGAAGAATCCCGATGAGCTTCCATTCTATGTCGTAGTCGTTCGTCAGATGAACATCTAATGGAACTGGGAATCGATGTCAAGGAGGAAAGAATTCCAAGAGAGCACGCATTAGCCATTGTCAAGTTTTCTCCAGATTCCCATAGGCCACCTTATTCCAGACGAAGTTTCAGCACAGAGGACCGGCATCATCTCCTTGACTCGCCCATCGACAGTTTTGCGACTCAACCCCGCCCCCTGCTTGTACGCATCTCCCGCAGACTCGACATACGTACGATTCCGAGCTATCTACATGATACGACCCAGCTTTCAAAGCTTACAGGCGGTCAAACCATGTCCACTCGATGGAGGAAATCCTTCCACAGATATGTCCCACCCAGCCGGCATCACATCGAGCCACCGCGCTTCATTTTCGGGGTCGGCCATCAGCACATGCCGGCAACGCGCCACTGCCTCCTGTTGTCTCATGGACAGGGCACGTTCGAGGGAACTTGAATCAGGCGCGAATCGCCCGCGGAAAATGATGACCGCGGGGGTCTCGCCGAAGAGCTCTTCAGTACGCCGCATTTTCAGTGATTCCATCATTGGCGGCATGAAATTCCCCACTTGTTGCCAGCAGTATATCAATAAATGTCAGGCTCCATATAAAGTTCGATCAATCTCGGGGCTTCTGAGAGGCGATCGCCGACCCGGTCGTCGGCTCCCAATGGAGGTCCCTGGTACTGACATTCAACGCTCGGAGAGCGTTGGGCTCGTCCTCGCTTCTCGAAACACGAAATTTTGGCTCACTCACCTGATTCTAAATGTGGAGCGCCTATACTGACGAAGAGACGAATACTCGATCGAAACCGAGATTCTTCGATTTTTCTTCAGATCGATCTGTCGTCGCGTTCGTCGAAAGGCATGGAGCGAGAGGGTTCTTCACCACCGTTGAGAATGGCGATCAATGCCATAAAGAGATTCATTGCGCTTGGAAGTCGGGTCCGCAAGAATCTTTTACTCCAGCGGAGCACCTCAATCAGCTTCACAGATCTTTGGGGGATCACGACGGGGGATTCTGCGCCCTCGCGGAGCTATTCCTCCGACGTGCTCTCATCAGGAAGAAGAATTCCGAACGCAAACTTCACGCCTTCGCGAACGTCTTCGATACGGGCCTCACGACTACTGAACTTCGTCTTCAAACTCGTTCGATTCTGTCGCCCGTGTATCACCTCTTCCCGTTTGCGATTGCACGATCGGATTCTCGAACTGATTCTTCCCGGCTTACTTCGAGTTAGATTTCATGCACAATGCTCATGGAAACGGTACGGGAAGGAGAGAAGCACGGTCCGAATGCTCGGAACACAGCGAAGCATACTCAGAAAGAGAGGCACACGCGCGCCAGAGAGTTGAGATATAGAAGCTCTCTTCCCAGACCGACTCATAGGGGAGAAAGGGAAAACTTCTAGCCAGAGCTGCATGCGGGAACTGAGCAGAGACCACCACCTTAGGGACCGATACCGGGCAAGGGCTTCCCTGAAAACTCTCCGGGAAGGAGTAGAAAGCGAGCTCACCTCTTAACCGCGCTACTCTTGGTTAGGTTCCCTCGCTCACTGGCCCATACACGTGCCCCTACGGCCCTCTTCCGTCATCGAACAACTAAGATAGACACCTTCTGGTTTTCCTCCGACGACGACGGAGAGACTGGGTCTTATTTTTGGAAGGTACAAAACGCCATGACGAGCGCCTCCCACACAAAGCTAGAATGTATTTAGTCTCACCGTCTGCGTACACGCCGAGGCGAAGGCCACTCAGTGTTTGAGGTAAATCATTATCGACGGTCCCGTTACGAGTCGGTTTCTTGAATCGATTCGATCGGGACGTCAGCCAGAAGCATAAGAATGAGCAGGAATGATTCAAAGCCTGAAGAAATTTACTCCGTAAGAAGGCCTTTGCTCGCAGCGCCTTCTGAAGCAGTTGGCGTCGATGACCAGGTACTGACGGTAGATCGGAGCGGAATTTTACGTAGCCCGGAAAACTGCAAATATTTGAGGCAGGACTGCGAATGCAACCTCTTCCTTAATACGGATTTTTATTCAAACTGAAAGATGCCGTTTACAATTTATTTACAATAGGTCGTCGTCTTCCTCCTTGATAACCACCATCTCAGCAACTTCGCCCTCTGGATCGCCTTCGGCGTACTCCATCACCGTAATGCCGTCCTTGCTGAGGAGCTTCTTGTGTCGGGTCTTCAAATGACGCTTGTATGTGTTGCGGGTCTTGAACCGTTGAGGACAGTCGCTGCATTCGAAGGGGGTTTCGCCTGTATGCCTTCGCAGATGCTCTTTGTAGTGCGACGGATGTCTGAATTGACGGCTGCAGGCCGTGCAAGTGAATCTGGATGCGTTGTTGTGGATAAGTAGATGGTACTTGAGCGAATGCTGTCTCGTGAAAGTCGCTCCACAGATCTGACATGTGAACGGTTTGATTCCCGCGTGACCCCGGTAATGAGAAATGAGGGTTGCCGCCGCCGTGTACGTTTTGTTGTTGTTACAGATTTTGCACTGGAGCACGAAGTCGGGCTCTGTGCGTTCGTTCAGCGCTTTCAGGTAGTTGATGGCCAGTTGCTGCAAATGAACGATAAATATAAAATTCCGATTTACACATTCGGAAATCCGAGGAGCACGAGTTTCCTGATCCCGACACGTGACTCCGCATGGAATGACCACTACTGACCTTCTCCCATTCGGGAATAACACGTCCGTTGTGGTTTCTGGCGGCTTCGTCGGTCTGGATCGTTCCCACTATGTTGACTTGCTCTTCCGTCGGCTGAGAATAGCCGATTTGTATCTGGCGAGATCGATTACCTGCATCGGGAAACCCCAAATCGGTTAGGTCGGGTGTGTTCTTCCCGTGGAGGAATGCGAGCCCGGAATTTCCTGGTGCTCTCATCGCGATGGCAAAATACGACGAATATTCGACGAGTCTCTCCATTCCGTGAACACGAGTGGGAGAGACGCGAAATCACGATTGACGAGCGACGTACCTCTCGATTTGACCTGTCGCGGCTGGATGATTTGTTGGTACTGAACTTTCCCCTCGAATGGCGAGAAATTCGTTGAGATCTCTTGTTCGGCCACTTCCTCCTCGGTCCACTCCACTTGTTCGATTTCCCCGAGATACTCTTGGGAGCCATCCGCATAAACAACGACGCTCTCCGAATCACCGATTCCTTCGTACTCTCTACCGGTGCTCTGGTAGGAAACGTCCTCGACGTAATTACCGCTCTCATCCTGATACTCGACCGCGTACTCCTCGCCGGTTTCCTGGTCAACAACTATGTGCATGGTACGCGGTTGGGAGGATGTACTCGGGACTGCTTGAACTTCCTCCTGTGCTTCGACTACGCTATTGTCCTGGCATTCGTAGAGCACGCCGCTCGCATCTGGAACGCATACACGGCCCGTCAGATCGACGTTGCCTCAATTCAGGAATGACGTGAAATGTCTTGACAAATTGCATGGTATCTTCGATGTTACCTTCATAAACGTATTTCGTAGTGGTGCCGTACTGTTCCTGAGGAACCTGTTCAACAACATACTGGACAGAGACCTCCTCCGGCTCTTCCTCTTCTTCTTCGGACGATGACTCCGGTATCGGTTCGGCTCGAATGTTTTCGATCTCGGAAATATTCGGCAGCAAAGGCGTATAGATAGAAGGCCACGGTGGGGTAGAAATACAAACGGGGGGCTCCGGATCTGCGGTTGAAGGATATCGAGTGAGTACAAAACGTCATCGGGATACATTGAGAGAGAGAGGTCCGAATGAAGCTCTCGGCATATTTTCCGTGCTTACTTAGGTTATGGGAACCGTCCGCTTCGAACTTGATCTCCTGTGTGACGTGCTTCTCCCGCGGGACTTCGGCGGGCCCGCACGGATGGGTATAGAAGTGATCCGAGAGCTCTTCAAGAGTGGTCCAATCATCGCCAGTCTCGAGAGGATTCAACGCGCGTGGGTGGAACAAGGGCTCTCCGTCTTGGTCGTTATCTTCTACTTCCGAGGCGCTGCGGGAACGAAGACCCTGTTTGTTCGCACTGTTAATCGATTGCAATGAATCCTCAGTGTCGACAAGCCTTACCTCAGAGTGGCAGATGAAGAACTTGTTGTCCTCTGCCGTCCGGCTATCTCGATGACCTCGATGACTTCGGAGTTTTCGTAGACCTGATCCCCCTCTTCCACCTGGACTATTGAAGCGTCCTTCTCGATTTCTTGTATGTGCTCGTAGAGGTGACACTGCATGAGCTGACGAGCCCTGACTTCGTTCCCAGCTGGAGTCGAGATGACGCTTAAGTTAGAGCAACCCGAAGCCTTTGGACTACGCTACGAGTTAGCGACGCCTGTCATGGGTTCAGCAAAAATACGCTCGAAGGGAGCCTAGTACTCACTGTGGCTCCAGAAAGCAGCTCTGCATTTATCCGGCAGCAGCCGACACATGAAGCAGAATTTGGTGCCAGCTTCATCGGTTTTGTATATGGCGAAAAGGTCGACCAACGTCGAAGGTTTCAACGCCTTGATTTGCTCGAGCGTCATCTTGGACGTCTGTAAGAATCATCGATGTGAATAAGTCCAGCGATCCAATTCCTCTGAGTGACCCCAACCTAACGACCGGCTTGTCGAGGGGGATGGCTCTAATTCCCGCGCATTACCTTGTTTTTCGCATTCGGAGTGCTCAGGGTAGCCGACGCAACCTCGGCCAACATCGACAGCATCGATTTCTTCTCTTTGGACGAGGGGAGATCTTCGTGCTGCACCACTTCCATCTCCCCTTCTTCTATAATAACGACCTCCCCGTGACTACTTCCACTCATGGTGTCGGGAATTTAGACTGTGGAGGAAAATTATGATGAGCCTTAATCCGTTCAAGGACGGCATCCCATTCTATCGCTTAGGTATCGGTCGACCGCATAGCTCATGATCAGACAACATCTGCATTCGGATGATCAAGCAGAAGTCTCGTTCGATCTTCACGAGAGATGCAGACGTGCGAGATTCGGAATCGATGGTTTTACTACATCTACTCCGTAGATCGAGTTTCATGAACTTCCGATGATCGTTTCCCGATATCTTTGTGACTGAGAGTCCTCCGCTTTCAGCACGCTCGTGCGGTTCTTCGAACTGGTCAGTGGTTTTTTTCATTGGTCAACTCGAGATTTACCGCTCGAATGATATAAATTGCGGGATATACTCGGTTATCTGTCGATAGACCGTCCAGTGAAATCCGATTACAACCAACTAGCCGAAAGGACAGCTATGACGACAATGATTGCGGCGGCGGCGCAGCAGAGGAATGATGACGAACGAATGTTGGAAGCTAGGGAGTATAAACGGATGATGGACACAGCGAACAAATGATTAATCGGCTGAGTCAAACATTTCCAAAGCGTGTCAAGCTTCCTATGCATCCCTAATTTCGATCGCCGAGACGTGGGACCCGTTCTTCAGAGTGGATTCCACGAGGAGGACGGCGCCCGGTGGCGCCAAAAACCCCTCGAAGAGTCCATTAATGGTCGAGAGACGTTCGATTTGATAGGCTGGGGATCGGATCGAATGAGACGGATCGAGGAGCGTGGAGCGGGAGGATCGGATGTCCTCCAATCAGGAAGGAACCGGAATGAATTAAGGAAAGCCCATATGATGTCATGACCTCTCGACAGAGGCTTGATTGGCTTGGTCAGCGCCGAGTCGTCGGATCGCGACGAGTCGGCTTGGTCGATTGTCAGACGGTGTTGCGAAGTGTCAACATTGAGAAGTTGACATCGGGTACCGTGACGAAGAAGCGCGTGATGACGACGACTGATTATCTGGTGCTTGTTTTGTGTATAACCCGCAAAAATCTGTCTGGCCAAGCAGACAAACAACAAGGGAGCTTCGAGCAGACGCCGATCTGAGCAGACGGACCCGAGCTCTGGGCAAGTTTTTCACGCAAAAAACGCCTCCATCGATCGGGACGAGTCCCCGTAAATGCACGCACAGACGTTTCTTACCTTTGAATACGCCAAATCACCCGTTTCGATCGCTCGCAACGCTCACCACACCTTAAGCCTAAGATGTCGCTAGGCTTAAACGCAAAACAAAACGAAGGGGGTTGGCAAGGATTCTTTTTCAGAGAAAGTACCAGGAACTCGTATTGAATTTGTCTCCGTTGGACTGGTACCCTCCAATAAGGCTTGCTCATCACGAGTTTGCTCGAGTTGAAGTTCCGACGACGTTCTGCCTCAATTTTTCCGAAACCAGTGCCCGATTTGGGCGTTAGTGATCGACGCGGCGGAATCAGCAATAGAACAACGGAAATCATGATTACTGGTCCCTATGCTCAAGTTTGCGGGGTATCAGCCCCCTCCGGAGGGAATAACTCACCAGTTATTCGATTGAAGTGCGGAAATGCAACCGGTTTGAAATTCCAAGCGTTTTTTCGAAATAGCCCGCCCGAGAGTTCCCTCACTCGTTATCGGATCAAGAGAGAGAAGAAGGCGAGGACCAATCATCTACCATGCTATCAGCAGTTGTCGGTTGCTCGATTTCGAAAACGTTATGCGATCTCTCATGAGGTCAGGACTTCTTCGAGGAATGGAATCGGAGCTCCACGAGCGATCTTCACGGAGATTGGCTGAACGATTAAGATCATCGAGGAAGAACTCTCCGCTTCCCGAATGGCCGCCTCGCGGCGCATGGCTGTGTGTTGCTCCGAGGACCGCAGTGCTCCATCGAATACCCACTCACTCACCTCTTTCGTACCCGAAGAATGTCTGGAAAAGACTTCAGGCGAAGGTCGACGTCGATTAGTCGATGCACTGCGAGGGCAGTCCTCTCGGAGTATCAACCCAGTAGGGGGGTTCAGCCTGCATCGTAAAGAGACGCGGAGCTACTATCCAGCAACAGAGATGCGCGGCGATCGCGAGCGTCACTGATGGTACCGATGCGAGAGATGATGAGATTTATCTTCGATGGGTTTGGGCATCGAGATCCACTTCTCCCTTGATACAATGCATGGTTTTCCTTCATTCTTACTCGACCAACCTCCTTGACACTCGTTCCTTGGAAGGTTCCACAGACACAGAAATGGTCTGACACAGAAATGCGGAATCCAGATGGAATAATTCTCGGAGAACGATATCTGGATGGAGTAGCGAGCGAGAGGATTGTCTGATTGTGAGGAGAACCTCCTGAAATCATCCAACTCGAGCCTCGACACGTTCTACGGTCAGGCTTGCTTCCCTCGAGTTCATGTACCTGCTATTTCACGTACCGTGTTGCTCAGACCCATTGACGTCGCTGCAAATTCCATGCCGAAAAGGCGATTGCATGGAAAACGGAGGTTACCGCTGTCGACGACTCGGCATCGTGGGGAGCTTAAACCTGATCGTCATGAATTGCGAGACGGGTCGGCAGTTCCCGGAAAGCCGCCCCGCGCGTCGCGTCTCCTGCCCGCTGACCACGATGCGCAGCGGCGGATTCACGAATTTTCCGCCCCCAGTCTCAATCAGGACCGCCGCCCTGATACAACTCATCTGGGCATGAGCCCCTATTCATCTCGGCGCTTGCACCAAGTTTTAAGATTTATTTTCCTTTCCAAAAAATCCTAAGGATCCGTAGACTTGGAAATTGTCTCCGCTTTTTCAGTCGATCCCAGAAGAGGAAAAGGAAAAGTTCTTTTTCAAAATTGTTCATCGAGTATGATCTCAGGGATCATCCAAGAAATTATATCTCGCTGTTCAGTTTTGGGACGGCTCCCCGCCGTTAATCTGGCAGCTTCAAGCTCATGGACAGAGTTGACGTCCTCGTCTCGGTCTCGAATGGTTCGACTGAGCGAGTTGTCGAGGTTCACAGAAGCTCCAACCAGGACTCCGCCGCCCCCCGAAAACAGCCGCCCAGTCTATAGCCCACTAAGCCTACTGGGTAAATCTGCCACTGACGGTGCGAGCTTCCCCCTTGAAAAACTTCAGTAGGAATGGGACACTCTCTCGGCGGAACACCTCCGTCGCGTTTGGGCATCCTAAAACCTCCAGCCCGGATCTACCGTCGATGGCAAAACTTCGAGGTGAGGAATACCTTCTCGACCTCGAAGTGAATTGAGTAGTCAATCTCTAGCAAGAAATTCTTCTCTCCCCGCCTTCTGTCAATCGTTCAAACGGGGAGAATCGCTGCGTCCCGTCCGACGAGGGAAATCCGGGGCAGACACCGACGGATCCGTGCTTTGCACCAAGAACTCCGGAGAGCATCAGCTTTGGTTCGCTCCTCCCGGAGGCAGTGTCTGAGTCTCGATGTGTCAGCCGACAGACTGACTCGTTCTCGGTGGGCTTCGCGCATGATTTCGGACTGGCCACGTGCTGTCAGCCTAACGAGTCGCCAGTGAAGCTGAAATGAATGCAGCCCTAGGTGGCGAATCAGCGCTCGTATGTATACAATGACGACGATGGGAATGGTGCGCCCCGGAACTCAGCAAGGAGTTCCTCGAATCCGGATTCAGTCTCCAGGAGCAAGATAATCTCCTTGACTCATCAATTTTTTTGCTTGATCAAACTTATTCATCAGGCTTCATTATCGCGATTATTTATCGAACGTTTTTACCTGCGTCCGGAATTCGGCAGATTACTAGGAGTTCTCGGGGATTCTCTCTTCTTGCTCTCAACTTCTGCTGGCTGAAGGGTCTCTCGGATATTATCAGGTCGCCTTCCCCCCCTTCGACCTCCATTCCACTACTTCGACACCGATCAATCCCTCCGAGAAGTCTGACTCAGCTCCATCCACCGATTGAGTGGATTAGGCCATCTAGTTGCGGCGCAGGAAAGCATCCCTTGGACTTTCGATCCCGAATCGAGCATTTCCAGAACAGGAATAGCGACATGAGATGTAGAACGCACTTCCGATTCTAGCCAAATCCCGGGATCCTTGCTCCCGATATCTTGGAGCATACTTCCCACACCCAATAATACTCCCTGGACCCAAGAGTGAGCTACAGTACCGTCGTAAGTTCTTGGTAAACGCGGGCAGCACCGTTTTCGAGTACAGATCGAAGGCAAGCAATACATACGAAATCTTTCTACAACTTCCACATAAATTATAGGAGGATTTTCCTCCGCGATTATTGACCGCAATCGCGATATTCTCTCGACATGGTATCCTTCACGGGACAGCCAGAGACCGCTGTCAAAGAACGCGTTTTCCCGTGAAATTCACGGTTTCTCGCAAAGCCTAGGCATCACCATCTGGTGTCTTTTCTCGGTCTTTCACGAAGCGACATGAGAGTTTCGCTTTCGGAATGCCATATGCTCAGAGCACTCGACTTGTAGGTCTACCCTCCGAGCTCCTCGCAATGGCAGCTCTAATCGGAATTCCGCATCACCATGATTCTCGCTGAGTTCTCGATTTTTTTCGCGCGCATCTCGGAATTTTTCTAGGACCCCCTCTACGATTCGAGGCTCTCGACTGGTCGCCCCACCCCTCGTCTCGCGGCTACCTTGGCTACCCCTGGAATGCATTCAAGCGAGACTTCAGAGAATAGTTGCACTTCGGCATCTTCAACTCCATCTGGATCGTTAAAGTCGACCACAGATACAGAGAGCTGAAGGCGATTCCGAGTTCCGCTCGCGACACTCTCATTCCTCGCTAGATTATTAGGCTCCTCCGCTTGATGCTGCAGCTCGATTCTTCTCCAGCGGAGAATCATACCGATCCCGGGACTTGCTCGCAATATTCTTCCACCGCAATATTCCTCTTTCATCCCAGGGGAAGACGTCATCGGTCCCCAGCTCCTGGCTGCCTCGCAGAATGAGAGTTGAACGCGTCAAATGGGTGAGCCGCCTCATTCGGTGGAGATTATCTTCAAGGATCATCATCATCATTTTCACATTCCAGTCGCTGAATTATTTATTCTTATAGGATTCTCACCCTTGATTAATGCGCCAGTTTTTTCGGTAGAATGGCAGAATTTTTTCCAACAATATCTCAAGCGACTCCTTCAAATAGTATATCCTCCGCGTACTCTTATCCAAGACTCTGCAATCCGGATGCGACGTCCCTGCTGTCGGCAGCGCGCCGCCGCCGGCTCTGGTTTGCCGTCCGTGAGCTTGGTGCTCCTCCGTGGCTGCTGCCGCTGCTGCCCCCACCACCGCTGATGCCGCCTCCGCCGCTGTGCTATGGGTTCTCTCTCTACGAAGACGACAAGGAGCTGCTATAAACAAAGCGTCGTGAGTGAGTTGTGAGCTTCGTCTCGATCTTCTCGCTTGGAATTCCTTCGGCCTTTCATCGGCTGGAAGTTCTCGTTTGTGTCATACCCTTCCGCGCAGTGAACGAAACGGATTACCGTGAGCACCGATAGTGGCGGGAAGATGGACGCTCTCAACGAACACCACTTAAGTTGAACCGGATCGGCATGTGACAGTGTAAAGCAGCGTTTTCACCCTCGCCAGGACATGGTGCATGGATGAAAGCTGTGCAACTTCGAGAGGATTATTATTTTTTTAGTAATTCTGTGATCGGAAGTGAGCACGCCGGATTCGGCAACCCGCATGGAAGATGACGGACATGCAGCGATACTTGATGTTGGGCATTATATTCGTTTGTGGTCATCTGGCGAACGCCGAGACAAAGTTGATGATTCTGGCCAACCGGAAAGACATCCGAGCGGTGGATCTGGAGAGGAACCTGACCCGGGTAGTCGTCGATAAGACCACTGAGGCTGTTGCCTTATCCTACATTTATTCAACCGGTAAGTGAGAGTCAACTGAGAGAATTCCGCTGCCTGGCTCGGCTACGCATGCCACAGGTGCTCGGAGGGTTGGAGCAGCCTCCAGCATTCGTTTCAGCGCGGTGTGTTTATTCAAAGTTTTCCGCTTCGAAATACGGTGCCGACTTTTTCACCACTTCGAAACAAGAGGAGGAGAGATTCCGAAGTACGTGTTGGCGGGCTCTGCCTGCTGGATTTACTCTTTCGACTCACGATGCAGTAATCCTGTAGCTTCTGGAGCTATGGGAAAGCCCTCATCCAATCGGTGACCCAATGCTGTGGCGGGCTGTCGCCGTTTTCAATTACCTAGCCTCTTGGGAGACGATACACTCGAACGGGAAGAGCCGCCGTCAACAGGGACCGGATGCTCTGCTAGGATTCATCATTGATCTAGATAAAAAAAATGGTCATCCTATGCGCTCTCATGTCGTCATACCATAAAAATGGTCGGTGAAGAGCTCGTGACGCGATCGTGGACTCGCGAGGAATGTTCTGCGGGACGATACTCTCTCT